TAAATGAAGTAAATTGTAGTTTAATTGATATCAAATGGGTATATTATGAACGCATATCTAATTACTGAACTAATTGAATATTATACATTAGTAATGTTATGTAATCTATAAACTCTTAAGTAACGTTAATTAATTCATTAGAAGAATGGTATTTCGAGCAGAAGAAAAGTTGATTTATTCAAAACTTCCTTTTTAAAGTTTTGAAGTAATGTTTTCATCAATCTGATCAAAGATTCTAGCATTATTATGTATATCAATCAACTTTTCTTCTGCTCGAAATACCATTCTTCTAATGAATTAATTATCGTTACTTAAGAGTTTATAGATTACATAACATAACTAATGTCTAATCTTCAATTACTTCAGTAATTAGATATGCGTTCATAATATACTCATCTGATATCAATTAAATTACAATTTACTTCATTTATCAAAATTTATTTTTTAAAGTTTTGAAGCAATATTTTCATCAAACTGTTCAAAGATTCTAGCATTATTATGTAAATCAATCAACTTTTCTTCTGCTCAAAATACCATTATTCTAATGAATTAATTAACGTTACTTAAGAGTTTATAGATTACATAACATTACTAATGTCTAATCTTCAGTTAGTTCAGTAATTAGATATGCGTTCATAATATACCAAATTTGTTAACAATTCAAGTACATTTTTTCAGGATTATTTTCATCAAACTGTTTAAAAATTGTAGCTTAGAAAAAATGATTATTATATTAATGTAAAGGTAGAAATGTTGACCTTTTCTTTCATAATTAATGAGCTATGAAACTCCTCTTTTGGAGCTATATTTTTTACCAATTAAAAAGTATCTTCAATTAATGTGAAGATGAAACTATGCAGATATTTCTGTGCGTGAAAATCTTAATAAAAATGAGATTAATCTGCCTCTGTAGCGAAAGTAAAGTTAAAAATATAAAAGTTAAGAACTAAAAAAAAAAGTTGAATAAAAAAAGAAATGGCTGGAGCAGCGGCAGTAAGAGCAGAGACAGAACGCAACCGGTAGTAAGTTTCGATGGCTCTTGGTTGTAGGGAAAACTTTAATTAATTAACGCAACGCTCTAATTTCCGCGTTTCCACGTGCGTCCCGCAGCGAGGAAAGCCGAAGGCGGAGGCGGCGGCGGCTGCAGCAATCGAGTTAATTAAATTGCCAAAGTTTTGACAAGTTTTAGGGTCAAAGTACACCTCTGAGAAAGAAATTCTGTCCCCGTTGTTTCAGGCCAGGAGAACTGCCCCTACGACTACATCAAGATATACGACGGGAAGAACGAGTTCAGTCCGGTAATTGGGACGTTCTGCGGCATGGGCAAGTTTCCCTACTCGATCATTGGTACATCTCAAGATCTCTTCGTCGAATTCGTTTCATCACCTGCAGGTTTGATTTCCTTGATTTGTTTACTTACTTAATTGCATTTCAATTACAATTCAACTTTACAGGTCCTTTACTGAACACCGGCTTCCACTTCAACGTCGGCAATTGGCCGGGTCACGTCGATACGGCGGGAAGCCGGAACGGCACATGCGATTGGCTTCTATCCTCGGAAAGTCTTCGAGCTTCTGGTGATTCCGAAGGAATCTTCCTCTCCGTCGCACATTGGTATCCACCACACACGAGCTGCACCTATCTAATGCAAGGCGAAGAAGGAGAAATCGTCAGGTTATACTTTCCCAGGTAATCAATCATTCATTAAAACCACACAAAAAACAGATTCAAACCACCAACAAATAACAAAAATAAACATTCTACAAATATAAATATTTTCAATCACCGCTGACTTTTCAATCATATCCACATACGAAATGGAATAAATTGAATTGAAACGGTAATCAAATGTGCGGTACGTATAAAATCAAATCGAGCTTTTATCGTTTACAGTCAATTGCAATTGATTTTTTTTTCTGTAAACTTTTAGTGCAGACATCGCAAACCTCGTTCTTGATTTGATTGCCGTTTGCTTATTCATGGACATTTATTTATTTTTTCTATAATTACTGCAATTTCATTTCCGAATCGATCACATGAAAGATTGGACAGTTTTACCATGAAAACAAAAATTGATTGTTGTTTGCTTATAGAATATTCATGAACTTAAACTTATAATTACATTTTCATATCTAAATTGATCAATCAAAATATTAAAAACGTAATTGCGTTTTTGTTTGTTATGGTTCATGCCACCTATCTGAGAGTACGCTCATTGGACAGGTCATGGTTATATCTTTAATTTGCATTTTAAACGATTTCATTTGCATACGTGTTCATCGAATAATTAAATAAAAGGTGAAAGACACTTCATTAACAGCACGCATTTTAATCATTAATTTTGACAGCTTATAACAAAAGAACAGTGCATACCATAAATCTAAAAATATGCTCATTGGAAAGGTTATAGATTTATCTGAAATATCAATTTTGATTGATCGTGTTATCATATGTTTACAGTCAATTACAATTGATTTTTTTTTCTGTAAACTTTTAGTGCAGACATCGCAAACCGTTCTTGATTTGATTGCCGTTTGTTTATTCATGGACATTTATTTATTTATTTTCTATAATTACTGCAATTTCATTTCCGAATCGATCACCTGAAAGATTGAACAGTTTTACCATGAAAACAAAAATTGATTTTTGTTTGCTTATAGAATATTCATGAACTTAAACTTATAATTACATTTTCATATCTAAATTGATCAATCAAAATATTAAAAACGTAATTGCCTTTTTGTTTGTTATGGTTCATGCCACATATCTGAGAGTACGCTCATTGGACAGGTCATGGTTATATCTTTAATTTGCATTTTAAACGATTTCATTTGCACACGTCTTCATCGAATAATTAAATAAATGGTGGAAGACACTTTATTTCCAGCACGCATTTTAATCATTAATTTTGACAGCTTATAACAAAAGAACAGTACATACCACAAATCTAAAAAATACGCTCATTGGAAAGGTCATGGTTATATCTTTAATTTGCATTTTAAATGATTTCATTTGCATACGTGTTCATCGAATAATTAAATAAAAAGTGGAAGACACTTTATTTCCAGCACGCATTTTAATCATTAATTTTGACAGCTTATAACAAAAGAACAGTGCATACCACGAATCTAAAAATATGCTCATTGGAAAGGTTATAGATTTATCTGAAATATTCATTTTGATTGATCGTGTTATCATGTGTTTACAGTCAATTGCAATTGATTTTTTTTTCTGTAAACTTTTAGTGCAGACATCGCAAACCTCGTTCTTGATTTGATTGCCGTTTGCTTATTCATGGACATTTATTTATTTTTTCTATAATTACTGCAATTTCATTTCCGAATCAATCACCTGAAAGATTGAACAGTTTTACCATGAAAACAAAAATTGATTGTTGTTTGCTTATAGAATATTCATGAACTTAAACTTATAATTACATTTTCATATCTAAATTGATCAATTAAAATATTAAAAACGTAATTGCGTTTTTGTTTGTTATGGTTCATGCCACCTATCTAAGAGTACGCTCATTGGACAGGTCATGGTTATATCTTTAATTTGCATTTTAAACGATTTCATTTGCATACGTGTTCATCGAATAATTAAATAAATGGTGGAAGACACTTTATTTCCAGCACGCATTAATTTTGACAGCTTATAACAAAAGAACAGTGCATAACACAAATCTAAAAATATGCTCATTGGAAAGATTATAGATTTATCTAAAATATCCATTTTGATTGATCTAGTTATCATGTGTTTTTATCGAGTAATTAAATAAATTATGAAGACGTGAAAGTAATAGAAAAAATGTCGTAAGTCGGTTATTAACACATTGACGACGGCATGACCCACCGGTGTGTCATTAATTATAAATAATAGTTTTGTTGCTTATAATAAATATTGCTTATAATGAATGACCTCAAATATCTTAAGTCAATTACAAACTTCAAACGCCAATACATTTCTTATACATATTTTAATAATTCTTGAGCATACTTCACAAATTAATTTGCGAAGCATATTTGAAATTTTCATTCAAGTAGAATTGAATGAAAATTTCAATATTTTTCCCACAATTGTTATAAATTGCTTCAATATCATTAAAAAATGTATAAGAAAAATTTAAAAGGTTGTAATTGACGTAAGATATTTGACTTTTCACTCAGTCCATAGGCGTCCACGAAAAAATTTCTGGGGGCAGACAACCCGAAAAGCGCCGTCCTTAACGTGTAAATTATGTAACAGCAGTTGTATCAAAAGATGACAAATTACATTTTCTTTATTCGAGTTGTTCTAAAAATTATATTAATAATTATAATTAACTTATCCATTATGATAGTAGAGAACAGATGTAATTTTTGTGTGATAATGATGATGACAAGACGAAATGAGTTGGGTTTAAAACGTTCGGTTGGAGATTACACGAATGCGGCTAACTTTGCATGCACTAATTCTGTGTTTAGTTTCCGGATAAACCGCATAGAATCCCCGATCCAACCGATCGACGGCGATTGCGGGGAATCCCTCACCCTGTACGACGCCTCGTGGCCGGACGATTCTCGAATAATCAAGACATTCTGCGACACGTTCTCGAAAGCGATGGAGAAGCACGACTTCGTGTCCACCGGTAATTCTCTCTTCGTACGATTCGAAAGCAAAACCGGAAGCTACAGCGGGTTAGTTGCTCGAGACGCTCGAGAATTGATAGTTTGTTAGTAATCAGAATTAATCCGTAGATCATCTCTGTACTATTGGGCCCACTACGACTTCTTCAACAACACGAAATTGGGTGAACCGGTGCCGGGGAGGACGTGCGACGAGGTGTTCGCCTCTTGGAAGTCGACCAAAGGATGGTTGAGATCTCCGCTGAATACTTTGGTTTACAAGCAGGCGCCTTCCGGGGATGATGTTCAGTGCTTGTACAGATTCGTCACGGATAGGCGATTGTTCGCTAGGGTCATTCTGATTGTGACGAATATTCATTTCAAAGTAATTGATTGTTTTTAATGTTTCTGCTTGATGCTGATGCGAGAAAATGTTAATTTCAGGACCATCCTTACAACCCGGGGATGTGCACGAACTGCGTCGAAGACAGGGTGGATAAACTCGTGATTTGGGAACCTCTTCCACCTGGAGTGAATTCTTCGCATCCAGCTACGACTCTCTCGAAGGCCGTGCAAAGCGGTGAAGTCACTTGCTTGTGCAACAAGCACACTGGATCAACCACGGTGGTGTCGCGCGGGGAACAGTTGAATCTTCAGTTGATCATAGACAGCGCCCACGCGGCTCTCAGCTACTTCAAGCACGGATCTCCGCTGTTCGAGGCGACCTACGAGTTCGTCCATGGTCCTCTGTGCGGTCCTCCGATTATCCAACCCACTACAGATGGGGAAATTCACTATCCCTATTACGAAGCAATCGGTTACGTGGAGCCTCCGAAGTCGATTAGGTGCATCTGGGAAATTAAAGTAAACAGGGAGAGGGATCTGTGGCTGCACTTCGATAGGATCAAGTTTGCGTCGAAGCACTGCGACGATGGGATTGTTGACATATTCGTTAAGGGACGCAGCGAGCCCTATCTGAGCGTTTGCGGGGAGAACGTGTCTCTGAGCAAAGAACTTCCCATCCTCTCAGCTGCAGAGTTAAGTCCGGATGGTTCAGAGCCTGGTGTCACCATCCAGTTCATCGGAAGGACGTCTCCGACGAGAGCTGCCTTCAAGATCGCCTGGACGGAACTCTTCCATCTACCGAGGAACACGGATGGAAGCTTGATGACATCCAGACTGACCGAAGGTGGAGTCGCCGCCGATGGAGAAGAGTGCGAGTTCCAGTGTCCCGGCGAGGCAGGTCTCTGCATACCAGCGCGTCTCGTCTGCAACGGTGTCGTCAATTGTCCGAATGTTACCGGTGGTCCGAGCAACGGCAACCTCGATCTGAGCGATGAATCGGAAGAACGGTGCAAAGGCGAGCCGACAATAGAGATCAACTGGATCTACGTCGGCCTAGGATTGTTATCAATTCTAATCAGTTTGTGCTGTTTGTGCGTCTGCTTGTGCAGGAGATGTTGCAGGTACTGTTGTTCGGACGATTGAAAAACCCAAACAAAACGAAGATGAAATAAGTAATTTCAAAAACAACAACAACAAAAATATAATAAATAATAAAAGAAAAACACTACCCAACCCTAAGAGATACACACAAGAAGAAGCCTTATCAATTTCCCCAAAAAAAAAAAATATATAAATTAAAGTAACAAACCCAAAAAAAAAAGAAATACTTATTAAGAGACGACCTTAAGTTTATATCAAATATTAATTCTAGTGATGATGAACATTTGTTTCTTTGAATGGAAGTGCGGTAGTTTCGTTCGATTGGTTTTCCTCAAATTAGGTTCCTGTAGACAAGTAATTTGCACTGTATTTCGTTTGAAATGATTTCTATATTTTTTATTTCTATATTCTCGTTACTCAATTGTTCAAAGTTTGAAAACAAAAGCGAAAACAAGATGAAAATAATATTTTAAAAAAAAAAGTGAACTAACCGAATGAACATTCTCTGGAAACGTATATTTTGACGATGTAGGATTTACGATGGATGCGAATGCGAATATGAGAGGAAACCCGTTCTTTATTTTTGTTCCGTTGTTTGTTATGTATATACATTCCTATGTATTCACCTATGTGATAATATTAAATAATAAAATATTGTTTTAATTCGTCTCATTTCTTTAACATCCTCACGCACACTTTGATTCATTTATGTAAAGAATCAATAATTTAATTAGTTTTATTACATGTGTTTCAATAGTATTATTAATTAATTAATTAAAGAATTAGTAACAATAAAAAATATTTCACATTTAAACTAATTAAAACTAGTGAAAAGTAAACTGAAAATTTCATTTTCTACAATTACAATATTTGATTAACAATAAAATTACTAAACGCTTGAATTAAACAATTAATTAATGCAGAAATTAATAAAAGAAGATTCAAATTTCAAAATATAATTACAAAATTTGTTTTGAAAACCACAGATGTCGAAAACTGACAACTTTCAAACTAGCATAACTCAATTAAGAAGCAATTAATGAATTTACAATAAATATAAACAATCGCTTAATTTCATAATGAATTGTCTGGTTAATTTTAATTTTCAATGAAGGCTATAATTAAAAAATAATAATAATTGGAACAGCGCTAATTATTGTGAACTATACATTGTTTTAAGTATATTAGAGATGGCGCATCCATGTTGGTGTAAGTTTGGTTGCCTATACTCTTGTCAAGATTATAGTTGACCATTTGGTGCTTTGTACTAATTATGATTTTTTTAAATTACTTTCTTAATAATTATTATTAACAATTTTTAAAAATATGTTTCAATTAATGTACTTTCAATCTATTTGTGCGTTTAACAAGTAATATAAAATTATGAATGATTTGAAATATCTTCAAAGTATTAGCCTTAATTAAAAAAGTAGATTTGAAATTTTAAAAAGGAAATTAAGGAATAAAATAAACAACAGATTGTTTAAAATAGGACATATTTGAACTATATTTTCAATAAATTGTAGTTTCTGCTATGATTGTAATATCATAATAATTAGAAAATCGATGTTTCATCAATGTTTACTATGAGATAAACTTTATAAAGTTATGTCTTTAAATAATCACAAACAATATTTGATTACATTAATTATAAAATATAATTAAATTCTGTAAACATATTTATCAAAGAAAATATTAATTGTTTTCGCTGAATATTTTCGTTATTATTATAAACCGTAAACAGATGACTCAAAAATGTTAAGATAAAATTGGATTTTTGCTAAATATTGCACTTAATTGAAAACAAATCCCTAATATTCAAAATATTGTGTAATGTAAAGAAATTGTGTTTTCTACTAGGCTTAGGTCAAAGTCTAAGTGATAACCTCGTAATATATTTGAATGTTAAAACGCAATTGCTAAGCTACAATAAAACAGCATTAGTGTAAAACTACTTACGAAGCAATAAAACTGCGTCTAAACATCATTCGTACTTTGATAGTTGTAACAAAAAGTGGTTTATACGTATGTTACGTATCGATAAATTATGTAGAGTGGAAAAGTAAGTAGATACATACCATTAGGTAATCAAGAGCAGTAATAAGAAAATGTAATTTAGTTACGTATCATTTTATTTAGCTGCACAAAGAGAAATTTTTTGTTTTGTACATACATATATTTACACAACAGTAAAAACACTTAAATATCATATTTGGACCATAAAAAACATTTAAAACTTGCTACATTCGGTGTCATCTAAATGGTGTCACCGTTTTCCCTGTATCTCTCATCCCGACGTACCTCTAAAAAAAAGCTGGATAAGTTTTCTTCTTTGTTTAGACTAGATTGAAAGCCGTTTAACGATATCCCGCATGCAATAATCACACAATGTGATGTTAATAATAGTAAGAACCGTAATAAAATAATAATTGAAGGAACATGCAATTAATCACAGTATAAAATAAATTAATTTTTCTGGCGCATCCACTGGGCGACCATAACCGCAGCTGGGATGGACGAAGTCAGCACAAATGCGTGAGGAAAACGCATCTTGCAGACTTCCGCATCCACATCCGGTATATCGTCTTGCAGTTTCTTGCAGTAGCTGACCGGCGCCCAATTATCGTTACCACCGAAGTAGAACTTGTACTTCTTGATATGCTGCTTGATGACATCCGTGTTCCTCTCCTTCAGCGTCACCATTTCGTCTGATGCCATGAAGAATATTTTGTGCAGAACCCTGGGGTGAATCAGGTTGCATATGTTAGGTATCTGGAAGTCTTCGGCTCCCACCACCCACGTATATATACCGACCAAGAAGTGCTGAAGGAATATTGGTAACATCTGGAATATGCAGGTGAGGAACAGAATTATCGGTACTATGTGATGGACGATGCTTGTATAGAAACGGCCGTTCGGTGTGAGAGCGATGTCTTCGAGAGTAGGAAACAGCATATAGTTTTTAACAACTCGCGACGATATTGAAGGATTCTTCATCAGCTCAGTGATGATGTATGTACCAACCGAATGTCCAATCAAATGCAGCCTTACATCTCCAGGAACCATCTTTTCAAAGAACTCCATCTGCAATAAAAAGTAACAAATTTATAGAAACTAACAAAAAAAAAATGATATTTTTTTTTTAATTTATTTTACCTTATGCTTAATTTGGCCACTCAAGTTGTACAGATCCTTGTTCTCCTTGATATTAGGAATGTTGTATAGGTTTTCATTCTCTGGGCGTTCATGTCCGGCATGGCTCACAATCCAAATGGGCCAACCCAATTGCTGGTGTAAAGTCTCCAGGAATCTATAATAGAATTGGGTGAAACCAGGATTGCCCGGAATGCAGATGATCAGATCCTTCTCCTTTTCACTGTCGAAGCTCTCCTCAACCCATTTACCCCAGGTGGTCACCTTTGTGGGCACTTTGTTGATTGTTACAAATGCGGTATGCATCCTTATTGTTTTCAGTAGGTAATACACGATGAATGGATTTCGAGTAACTCCGCTCGACTTTGCACATTCAACTTACGGACTTTGCGCGCGAGCAAACATTGGAATTGTGGTAGGGTTAAGAAGGAACCGGTCGTTGTACGAAATATTATTAATAATGTAATTGTTACAATACAAAACGGCAATTCTCGCCGGCTACAGGTTGTAGGAATAATGGAAACACAATGCATACATACACACACTGCTTTCACATAACAGCTGATACAAATCACCACAAGCTTCCAGATCATAGATGGCATTGATAACGAGATTTAAAATTGGTTTAAACTTGAAATTGTATTTTATTAGTTAAAAAAAAGGAATGCACAAAAGTTACAAATAATGAATCTTAACGCTGAAATAATAGGTAAACGGATGTCGCTGGTTTGTTGTACGTTTAAAGTCCTGTTTGAGCTATAAGTTTCCTTTTATTTCCATTTATTATTTAGATCATAAAGTGTATGTTATCAATTATCAACTGGGGACTGGTCCCATCGGTATGGCGATTTTCTGATGGATGTCTATGGTTCTCATAGCGGCTGAATAAGCATCCGACTTTGGTGATCTTACAATCGGACAAGGCGTACACTTCTTATCAACATTGTTATTGTTCAATGTACTATTGTTGTTGTTCTCTGGTTTTATACCGGGTGGAGGAAGAGGAATATGCTTATTAGGCATGTCACATCCCATCAGCTGCATGGCTGGACAAATGTTCGGACAGCAGGCTTCCTCGTATTCGGTATCCGAACTCTCTGACATTTCTACGGGCATTGGTGTAATTGCAGCCCCATCGTCGGACGATCGCGATTCAGTGTTTTGCCTCTTCGCGTGATGCTGGCATGGGGGACAAGGCGGGATTTGTTGATAAGACGATAATTGATTGAATGGTTTATTATCAGTTTGTGTTGATTTCTTCTTACAGGGAGGACAGATTTGCTGATGGTATGGCGATATTTGATTAGCGTAGTTGTTGGTTGGATCGTTTTGCGAAGATTGCCTCCGTCCATAGGACTGCTGTTGCGATCTCTTGGGTCTTGAGTGCATAGGACATGTTCCTCCAGTTCTTGGACAAACTGGCGTGGAGCGCGTGTCCGTCGATCTGCGCGTCGTTCTATCGTAATAATCGTCCTCCTCGCATTGCAGGCATTCGTATCTCTTATACCTCTGGTTCTTCGAAAACAAACTGAAATTGTAAGAATTTGTTAATAAATATAAAGAGTTTGCAATTTACAAAAAGAGTATTACTTGTTCCAACCGTGATGCTTGCAGCATGGTGATGTTATCGTGAGATACACCATGACTCCGATGATGAACAGGAACATCATCACCACGAGCGTCCAGGAGATCGTATCGAATATGGTCCATTCCGTGGGATCCGTGGCTATGTCCGTGGCTATAGTGGGAACGAAATCCTGCCTGCAGATGTCGTCACATAATGAGTGTTAAATAAATTGAACAATTCCCATAAATACTTGGCAATTCGTCTGTGAGCGAATCTGTCTATCGCCAGTGTTGTTCCACCGCTTCCGGTCGCATTACGACGGATTCCTGCCGTTGTCCCATTCAATTTCAGTTCCGGCAGAACTATCGGCTGGTAAGGTTTGAACGCCTCCTTGCTCTCCCTGTCGAAGTCGTGCCCGATGGCCTCGTACGAGGTCTTCGTCAGCCACTCACCAAGATCATCCCGATCCAATTGCCTCAAACGCCTCGCGACCAGCTCGTGAGTCTCCGACCGACCACCGCCCGCCTCCGAATTCCAATGCAGAAGGCTTTCCAAACAGCGGACATCCTTCGAAACGCTTCTCTCTTAACGAAAACAAACATCTTTATCCACAATCCATTATCAAAAAAAAAGCCTCACCAGCTTTATCCAGAGCACCAGGCAATTCGAACGAATCGAAGTGCAGAGAAGCCACCAACTTCCTGCACTCGATCGAAGTCAGGTGATCGGCCAAGTATTGGAATTGCGCTAAATTAATATCGACAGTAGCTAAAATTGAAGGAAAAAACTGGAAGACCGATTGATTCGCTAATCTACGAAATCTCCAAGTAGCCAAAACTCACGTGAATCCCCAAGAAACAAACAACTGCGGTCATCCCAAAAAAACATAAAACTATACACTGACAAACGTCAAAATTTGGCGTCTGCAAGAGGGGAATGCATAAGGAAAAGTACAATCACAGTTACGTTCTAGTATATTTAATATTTAAAAAAAAATTAATGATATGTTATGCACAGAGAGTTAAATATAATCATAAAAATACAATATAATAATAGTGTGTAAGAGAGAAGTTTATATGAACTTAAAATCGAGGGTGCTGTAAAGATGCTCTAGCCGAGGGGATTGTTGCCATAGCGTTTAAGTTTCTGCAAGCACAAGAAAATAATTGCATGAAATAAAGATGACGCGATAACAGCACAGTTTTCGTTTTAATTGTAATTATATGTACAGGAAAAAAGGTATTAAGAGGAACTGTTGCGTTTCGGTTCAATGGCCTTCACCTCGCCACGTGAACAGCTACACCTACCCTCTCGGCTCAAGTCCACGATAACTGTGAAGATGATCTTCAGGGCCTTGGTCCATGTGGCTCTCGCCTCCGCGCTCACCTTTTCCTCACCCATATGGTTCTCGACCATCTTAACGAAAGACAACGATAAATCCTGCAAAAGAGAAGTGGAATAGAAGAACAATGTTAATAAACAATAATGCAATCTTACTTCGTACGCCTTCCTGCTGATCTTGTGCACCTTATGCTTCTGCGCGTTCTGCCTGAGCATCAGCAGCACCGTCTCCGGGTTTTCCAAGTTATCAACGATCAACGAAACTTCGCGAAGCACCCGGATGCCGTGGATCTTCACGATCGGATCAATCTTCAATCCTTCCTGCGTCGTGTCCTTAAAGTGCTTAAAATAGACGGCGTGGTTCGGGTAATCCCTTAAGAATCTGAAGAGGATGGATGGGTTAAGCTGATGCGCTACCGCTGAAGGAGAGACGCGCGTCTACGTACATTGTGAACAAGGCTATGCCGTTTTTTCCGAGATCCTTCCTGACGCTGTTCCAGGTGCTCTTCAGGATCCTCTTTTCAGCTGGCGTCAGTCCAAGGGTCTCCTTCGTCGAACCAGCTCCCATCGCCTGCGGGGTTTGAAAAAAAAAACGTAGGGAAAAACAAAATCGGCCACCCCTCAAACCATCAGTGTCATCAATGACGCGCGACGCGTCAAAATAAAAAATAAAAAAAAAGGCGCGCGCGCTCTCCTCTCGCGAAATTCAAAATGAATATTCAAAATATTCGATCGAATGCAAAATATTGGCCGCAAAACGCAGAACTTGAAACGTTCGCGTTCAAGGCCTCCTCCAATTAAGTCGTTTCTCGCGTCGCCTCCACTTACATCCTCATCCTCTCCTTCCGGTGTCTGGACGTGCTGGTCTCCTTCCACGGACATCGCTGTTATGTGATCCTTTCTGGACGACGTCGGTTTTACAAACTGAATGTGGTGAGCTGCTCGCAACGCGCGTCTCTCTTCAAAACTGAACGCTCAATTCTGGAGCCCCCGGATTCCCAGTCTCTCGTTTTATATATTGTGTTCTGTGTGTGCATCGACACTCTCCACACACTCTCGCTCGCACTCACTGCCTCCACTATATATGTTATATGTATAAATTGATTAAGTCGATTGCTCTGCAGAATACACTACCATACACACGGTTACTTAACGCATACTTATGTTGACCAAATCATCAAAACACCAACAAACAAAAAAAGATACTTAATTAAACTGAAAGCAAAACAAAGTTATCCTTCGATTGATACTCATCAATGCACACAACCAATCGCATCAAACTAACAAAAAAAAAACAACAACTTTACCGCAAAAATATACTTTAATAAATTACTCACATTTATTACAAATTTAGTAATTTTTCATTCAAGTTTCAATTATGAGAAATTTTTCTCAAACATTTTTCAATTTATATAAAAACATAATATAATTTAAAAAAATCCATTTCAGATAAGAATTTTTCTTGTAATTTTCTATCGAAAAGGAATGCTCTGACACTAAAAATATTTCCAAAAAAATACTAAATTGTAACTGTACAACTTTTGATAATACTTAGTGGAAATTACAAAAATGACACACACATATTTCGTTGTAATATTAGTAATAATTTGTAATTTACTAACAACTAGAAATTACTAAATATGTTCAAATTCTCTTTAGTTTTCATTGAAAACTCTGCAAAAAGAATTGTAGTTCCATCAATTGCTCAATTGTCGCCTATCATTTTTAATGAAACAACAATAGCATGACGTTCGTACAATTTAAATAATACTGAGAAGTATCCTATTCTAATTACGTAACAAAAGTTATCGTAATTTCTGTAGAATGTTTAACTCGAATGCATGTTGATAAGAGGACAATAAAACTATATAATTGTTAAAAAAATAGGTATAATTACACGTTTATTTACAAACAATGTAATTTAAAAAGTTGCGTAACGCAAAATTGATGGTTTAATAACAGTTTTTCATTCATTTTTCGGGAGTCAAGTGGGTTCAGAACGAATATCTACAATTTGTTTATTAAAAAAAAAACAAAACATGAGATTAATACAATATTGATGATTTGATTAATTAGTTGTTTGTTTATTCATGAACTGAAAACTATGTTTATATAAGGAATTGAAAGTAGATCTGTTTGCATTTTGAAATGTAATATATCGATGGAGGTATTGTTATTAATTTTTTTTGTTTATGGATTTACGCAGTTTGCAATCAGCGCACCCAAATATGTTGGAATGAAATATACGTGGAGTGCGTGACAAATAGAATACAAATAAATGAATAAAAGAAAATCATCGACAAATGCGAGGAATGCGAGAACGTAAAAGAATTCAATATAAAAATTTGATGTGAAATAATATTTATTTCGTTTATCAACTGAGATATTGCGATATAAAAAAAAACGTCTGTGTATTTATAGACGCATGTTTTCAAAATTGATAAACCGTTAGATAATGTCGCAGGTTCAAAGTGTTTGCAAAACAGATGCAAATGTTGCTTGGGAATTAACGTCATTGATCGATTTTGTAACCATGGATATGATATAACAGATTAATTAGTTTGTAATTGAAACGTTAAGTTAATGTCTCTTTAAAATTAACATTCAATTAAAGTCTTGCCGCTAACAAAACTGAACAATATTTACCTGTTTGCATATGCAATTATAGACTTTTCACCTTGAGTAAGTCAGTATCGCGTTGTAGTAATCACTGTATTCATTAGTTTCTGTGAAACATACAAAATAGAAGAACGTTTCAATTAGTTTAAATTATATTAAACAATTTAATAATTATAAAAAAATCTGTAAAATACTAAAATTTTACCTAAAACTTAATTAAAAAAGTTGTCAGGACATTTAGTTTAATCGACAGGATTGGATTAAGACAAATTTAATCTTACTAGAATAGTTTTTTTTACTTAATCTACAAAACAACTTTATTAACTTGTCGTGGCCGACCAATTTATTATCATCTATTGTGTAATTAATATGTATATTTGTTAGGTCTACCACTTTCCTCTTTATTATTACAAAGCTTATTTAACGTATCCATTCCGAAGGAAGCCGTCTTCAGCCCCTAAATATTTGGACATTACCATAAAACTTAGATAAAGAAACAGTTGTATTTTCCACAAGGTCAAACCCTTTTCTCTCACGCAGCCCCTTTTTGAAATTAACACATTTTTGTATTATATAATTTAGTCTTAGTCAGGGGATCGAAAAGAGAGGAAGTCCTAGCTCTACCCCTTAACCTGAGAAGTTGGTCTTACTTTGACAGTCCAAGGAAGAGCACTTACTTCAACTATTGTATAATTGACTTCTCAATAAAACTCCTATATATACAATAAAGTTGATGTATTGATTTGTGTAAAATCTTGTCAATTTTTGTAACAAAATATTAATTAGATTTGAGTCTGGTTTAATTGGAATTCCATTAGATGAACATTATTTGATAATTATTTTCCCCCCGTTTTGTACGAGCCGCATTCCAGCTCCATTCACGAATTTAGTATAGACATGTGATGAGATCAAAGTGTTGCGTAATTAATGCTGGGGGGCTAAGCTTGATAAGTTCCTTCAAAGTCCATCAAATTGCTTTAAATTCAGCATGTTTATTTAATGAATCGATTGAATAACAATTATACAGTAAACAAGTATAAAGATTTTGATTTTTGAAGCAGTTAAATTTAGGCTTGACAATTCTAATCGTTGACGTAACCACAGAATTGACAGTGAATGTCATTGTTTAACTGTCAAATCCTTTGTTACGTCAACAATAATATGAGTGTTGATTTTCGTTGTTATGGAAACACGTAATTACAATTTAGTTTATATAATCCAAATTAATTGTTTTTTTTTTCTGATGAATGGGAGAAGAAGTTATGGTCGTTGTCTCTGTGGCAACCTTGTCAATACAAAAATCGAATGTTGTTTGTTCTTGGATATCTAAACTGTTGGTAAAGGACATTTCGATGGCGTGAAGTCAATATTGATGCGAACAATTCATAAAATACATAAAACATAATGCGATGTGTGTGAGCCATCGAAGTGGCATCACGATGCTATCCTCGTAGCGTGCCTAATTAATCTTAATGGCTGATCGCTAATAAAGTACGCAAGGAGCGTAATTAATGTTTTAGGCAAAGTATATTTGGACTGCAAACATGCAATGAATCGATTAAGTTTCTAACAGCCGACACCGCCGAACCCCTCCAGTTTCAATTAATGTGTATTGGGAACTTTAATTTCCTGCCACCAAATTAATATAACCGCATATCGACCGCACAGACCCAACAGACCCAACAGACTTATTGAAATCCAATCATTTACATTTCGCCTATCTTCCCACAAAAAGACTCTACATTTACGTTCAGTTCAGTCTCCCAATTGAACATTTGACAACTTGTTTAAGTATGTGACAAGTACCATATCAAATACGTATGTTGTCAAAAGAACGAGTAACTAATTTGACAACTTGTTAATAATAAGTGATTGACAATTACCACATCAAATACTTGTGTCAAGTTTGACAACTTGTATAAGTTATTGACAAGTACCATATCAAATACATCTTATACTATTGTATACACATCAGCTCTTATTTCACTGTCGTAGAGACAATGGGTAACTAATAAATTATTTGACAACTTGTGTAAGTACTTGTACACAAACATATTTATGAATCCATTTGACTGTATAAGTTCTGTCGTAGAGACAATGGGTAGCTAATAATGTATTTGACAACTTGTATAAGTAGTTGACAAGTACCATATTAAATACTTATTACACTGTAGTCAAGACAACGAGTAACTAATTTGACAACTTGTTAATAATAGTGATTGACAATTACCACAACAAATACTTGTGTCAAGTTCGACAATTTGTATAAGTTCTTGACAAATATCATATAAAATCAGCTCTTATTTCACTGTCGTAGAGACAATGGGTAACTAATAATGAATTTGACAATTTGTATAAGTATTTGACAAGTACCATATCAAATACTTATTACACTGTTGTCAAGATAAAGAGTAACTAATTTGACAACTTGTTAATAATAAGTGATTGACAATTACCACAACAAATACTTGTGTCAAGTTCGACAATTTGTATAAGTTCTTGACAAGTACCATATCAAATCAGCTCTTATTTCACTGTCGTAGAGACAATGGGTAACTAATAATGTATTTGACAACTTTTATAAGTACTTGACAAGTACCATATCAAATACTTATTACACTGTTGTCAAGAGAAGGAGTAAATAATCTGACAACTTGTTAATAATAAGTGATTGACAATTACCACAACAAATACTTGTGTCAAGTTCGACAACTTGTATAAGTTCTTGACAAGTACCATATCACATCAGCTTTTATTTCACTGTCGTAGAGACAATGGGTAGCTAATAATGTATTTGACAACTTGTATAAGTAGTTGACAAGTACCATATTAAATACTTATTACACTTTTGTCAAGACAACGAGTAATTAATTTGATAACTTGTTAATAATTAGTGATTGACAATTACCACATCAAATACATTTTGTCAAGTGTGACAACTTGTATAAGTTCTTGACAAATATCATATAAAATCAGCTCTTATTTCACTGTCGTAGAGACAATGGGTAACTAATAATGAATTTGACAACTTGTGATTGACAATTACCACATCAAATAGGTGTGTCAAGTTTGACAACTTGTAGAAGTTCTTGACAAGTACCATATCAAATACTTATTACACTGTTGTCAAGAGAACCAGTAACTAATTTGACAATTTGTTAATAGTAAATGATTGACAATTACCACATCAAATACTTGTGTGAAGTTTGACAACTTGTAGAATTTCTTGACAAGTACAATATCACATCAGCTCTTATTTCACTGTCGTTGAGACAATGGGTAACTAATAAAGTATTTGACAACTTGTGTAAGTACTTGTGCACAAATATATTTATGAATCCAGTTGACCCAATTACGTGATGTAATTGACAACAAGAACGAAAATCCAGTTATAGGCAAATAACCGGTAGTAAATTCAGTGTCAGTTGTTTATTCTCGGCGACTTAAAATAATCCCGAATGCATCAATATTTGCCAAGTTCAAAGCGATACAACTACGATGCGCACTTGAGCGGAGGATGCAATATACGGATATTAAAAATAAATAAATTTGTAGCCTAAAAATACATTTTGAAGTACACAAAATAATAATATAATAACTGAAATTCTGAAAAACAGTTTTTTGTCAATTTGACAGATCGAAGCATTATTGTATTGTTGTTTAAACTTAATTAAGTCATTTTGTTATTAATATTATAATTTAATAGAAAAATTAATGTTATTAGTCTATTTTGTAGTTGGTAATAATTCCATTTAATTGAAGATAATTAATGAACATATTACGAGAAATTCAAATAGACAACCAAATTAGCATTGCCATCTATTTTTAATTATTAACATTATAACCCAATGTATCAAATAAATATACAATTTTTGTTGCTTTTCTTTATTAACTTACATTTTATTAAATATTTGCAGCAATTGATAAAGTATGAGATTATTAAAATGCTTATTTTGTAAAAATTCCCAATAAATTAACTATGATAAATGCAATTATCAAATTAACATGACACAAGTCGCCATCATTATTAATTATAAAATTAATTGGTTTTCAAAATTAACAAATCTATATTTAATTCCATTCATCTATGGTAAAACGGATTTGCAAAATAATGGATGGAGGATTTGTTTTAGAAAAAATAGTTTTATTTCTTACATAAATTGTAAAGGAATGTTTCCAAATTCCATTAAAAGTACACAGATTTGATCACCGGTTTGTATATAACTAGAGAGTGTATACATATAATACAAGATTTGTAGAAAATAATTAAATTAATAATGAACTGAACTCGTTTGCCTTCTATTTTTAATTATTAACATTGTAACCCAATGTGTCCAATAATTATACAATTTTTGTTGCTTTTTTTATTAACTTACATTTTATTAAATATTTGCAAGAATTGAAAAAGTATGAGATTATTAAATTGCTTATTTTGTGAAAATTACCAAATAAATTAACTATGAGAAATGCAATTATCAAAATTAACATGACACAAGTCGCCATCTATTATTAATTATAAAATTAATTGATTTTCAAAATTAACAAATCTATATTTAATTCCATTAATCTATGGTAAAACGGATTTGCAAAATAATGGATGGAGGATTTGTTTTAGAAAAAATAGTTTTATTTCTTACATAAATTGTAATGGAATGTTTCCAAATTCCATTAAAAGTACACAGATTTGATCACCGGTTTGTAAATATCTAGAGAGTGTATACATATAATACAGGATTTGTAGAAAATAAATAAATTAATAATGAACTGAACTCGTTTGCCATCAATTTTTAATTATTAACATTGTAACCCAATGTGTCCAATAATTATACAATTTTTGTTGCATTTATTATTAACTTACATTTTATTAAATATTTGCAGGAATTGAAAAAGTATGAGATTATTAAATTGCATATTTTGTGAAAACTACCAAATAAATTAACTATGAGAAATGCAATTATCAAAATTAACATGACACAAGTCGCCATCTATTATTAATTATAAAATTAATTGATTTTCAAAATTGACAAATCCAAATTTAATTCCATTAATCTATGGTAAAACGTATTTACAAAATAATGGAGGGAGGATTTGTTTTAGAAAAAATAGTTTTATTTCTTACATAAATTGTAATGGAATGTTTCCAAATCCATTAAAAGTACACAGATTTGATCACCGGTTTGTATATATCTAAAGAGTGTATACATATAATAATTTGTAGAAAATAAATAAATTAATAATGAACTGAACTCGTTTTGTAATAGAATTACTTCAGTTGTGCGTTTAATACTGCTTCACGGCAAGTAGACTTTAAGAAACGAGCCGCGCTTTCTTTATAATAGACAAAAAAAAAATACAATATTTATAGACTAACGCGTCTAAAGCAAACCGGTAAAGAAGGTTGCCTAGTTCGCAAACAAATTTAAACTAATAAAATTGCACTAAATCATATCACTAATTACTGTTGATAAGGTTTCGTAGGGATGGCTATCAAGATAAATATGCAACCGAAGGCCGCTATACTGGCAAACAGCGCGAATATTGCGTAAAATTCGAAAGCGCTGTAGAAGACTTGAAAGAGTTTCGTTATGATTACGGCGAAGATCGAGAAGAACATGATTTGCAATTGCGAGATCGATCGTCTGGCGTTTTTAGGAAAGAGGTATTCGGAGAAGGTGAAAGGTACAGCGCCTAAACCTGAAGTGTGAGAGGTGATGTAGGCAAGCATAGTTACTAACGGTATGAATTCCCAATACTCTTTCAAATTCAAGTAAATAGCGCAGACTGTGGCGCAAAGGCTTAACAAGGAGAAGAAGCACGAAATGAATAAGACTGTCTTCTTGGGGAATCTGTTTAAGTAGAAGGTGCTTAAGATGTTGCAGAAGAGGAATATTAAGCTGTAGGTGATTGCGCATATTTCAGGACTGGGGACGTATAGATAGTAGAAGATGAATTGGCAATAGACTATTGTAGCTGGAGCACCGCTGAATTGTTGGATGAAGGTGGTTAATATGAGGATGAATAAGTTTTTTCTTAAACTGGATTCGCGGAAAACTGCTATTATACTGAGATGTGGTTCGACGACTTTGCCTTTGAGGATGGCCAATTCGATTTCCGGATTGGCGGCTGGTTTCAAGCGGCGGAGCATTTTCTTGGCTTGTCTTAACTTCTTGAAGAAGACGTATTCGGAAGGGGTGTGTGGGACGAAGAAAATTATAGAGAAAATTGCTATGGTTACGGCTACTATGATTGGTGGAAAAGACCGGAAGTTGGTGAAGATGCCTATGATGTAGGAGAGGACTACGCCGATGATCATGAAGATGTTCACGAGGCGAGTGAGTATTGAAGCTAGATTACCTTCGCTCATCTCGTTTATGTACGTTTTCACGTGGCCTACAGCGTACCCGTTACCTAAGCCTATGATGAGTCTTCCTCCGAGTAAATAGTAGATATCAGTTGCTTGCCAAATCAGAGTCCAACCGATGGACATGGCTATTAGCGAAAGGAGTATAGCGTACTTGCTTCCGTACAGAGACCAACCGGAGAACGGAGTGGCTATGATGTTACCGAACATCAAGAATCCTGCGATCATCGGGCTCTGAACTATGCTTATTGGAAGAGGAGATTCTTCGGAAAGCAGCTCCAAGTACGTGGGACTCGGCCATCCCAACATAACACCAAAGGGTATACAAAGAAGGGCAACTAAAACAAAATCGTGATTCTTAAATCAATAACTTAAAAAAAAATAAAGCACTCACCGCCGAGACATGGTAATATCTGCCATAGCTTCGAGCCTCTATGCATTCGCTCATCCATCGAATCGAACGTCTCGAAATGATAGATCTGCCCTTCTCCATTACTCACAATCCTCGCGCTTTTGATCGACATCTTGAGTGGATTAATAAAAAAACAATAGGCAACAGGAATTAATTCTTGAGATAAGATTAATTAATGAAGCACATCTACGGAAATATAAATTCAAATTCAATTACGTATAAACGCGGAGCGTTTACCTTCTTCTTCGACAACAAATCGAACTGAATTGAGTCGGCTCAAATAGATAGAGAGAGAGAGTGAGAGAACCACCACACACTCCTGATCAATTCGTCCGCTGTTTAATTGACTAGTTAAAGATATTCTTATTTGTGGCGCGCTTTTACACCAAACGTGCGTGAATCCTGAATCAGGACCTTGAGTCTCTCTCTGAGTGTGTGTATATGTATGTTTTTTTTTTGCTGTTATTTCTCCATTATCTGGCTGCGTGTGTAATTTTCACGAACGCCGAATTTTTTAATTAATCCTCCGCTAAAAAATTGTCGCGCTAAATACTTAAACCAATTGAGAGGCGATAATAACTGGGACACTCTCGCATATTTATTAAGAGGATCGAACGACATTACACCAACAACTCGGAGAGTCACATTCGCAGCTGCTGCTCTTCGATCTGCAAACAAAAGGAATTGCGGTTCTAAACTAACGGTTAACGAAAGAAACGACGGATCAGCCTTGCAACTACCACACGTGTTCCAACGTCTCCTTCTTCGTCTGCGGTTCTTCGGCCAAGAAAAGCCGCTGCCAAAAGCGACGACGATCCAAGAATGCGGTTCTTATTTAGCCCGGTGCCAAACCGTCGCATTTGCGCATATTTCAATGTCTGAAACAAACCACAAATAAAAAAGAATGAACACTTTGATAGTAACACACCAATATTATAATTGTTAACAGTCAATCACTAAAAGCCACGTAGATTTACTTCAGTTACGCCTAGCGTATTAAAATTAGAACCGCCGTCTAAATATGTAAAATGCATATTTGCATACTGATGGAAATTTTAATTTTCACATCGATTTTCTTTCCACAAAACAAATTGATTATTTTAATTAAATTATCAAAAATTGAATGAAATGAATAATTTACGATGATTTCAGTTAATTCTTTCAGTTAAATTATTATATAACTTTGGAGTCATTTTTTTGACTAATTATTTTACTAATTATTTGACTCAAGCCAAGTGAAGTGTGGAGAGGAAGGAAGAAGAAGAATTATTTGACTAATTATTATACTAATTATTTGCTTTGCTTAACATTTTTAATTATATTTCAATGCGCATAAACTAATCAAAAATCCCCATAATGCGGTTTATTCGTTATTTTAATGTTCAGCGCTGACTAATCATTAATTATCGCTGAAAAATTGTTAATTAAAATAAGTGAGTATCGAAATGCAACGCGGATTGTTTTATAATCAAGGAAACCGCGATGCACAAGAATCGCGTGCCTCGACCAATTACAATTGGGCAAGAAATTTAATTCAGTTGTTTGTCGAGCAAAAGTTACGCAATATATTTATAATGATCTGAAAATTACACTTACATTCCAACGGTTTGTCTCGAGCACTAATGGTCGAAGTAACAACAAAGAAAAAATGTTCTTAACAATCGGCAGAAAATAAAAATTATCGCTATACGGGTTTGGGGGGGAAAGTGTTAGGAACAATGCAACTTTGCAAAGCATATGCGATTGCTTTATGACACTTACCTTATTTTTTTTTTGTTTGTGTTGCTTTTGTCGTCGAGCACTTCGATGTTTATGTAACGATACACTTGCATTGTTTACGAAGCGAACTTAATATCCAAACGAATCGCGAATATTCGTGTCGCAATCTATTGATTGGTTTTATGCATTTCGAAGAAGTGAAGATTAGAATCAAATTATGTTTTTTTTTTCAGTAATTACATCGAATTAATTAATTAGTGTTTATTAGCAAAATTACGTTTTGCTACACTTTACATACATTAATTAATTTCAAATCCAATTATTTATTTTCAGAATTTTTTTTTTCAATTAATTGTCTACAATATTCATTCTTAAGGTTGATAGCTAGCAAAAAATATTTTTCTTAAGAAATACAATAAGTTTTACTGTTAAAATTAACACATGTTCTTCATACGTAATTTATATATTTTCCAATTTTGCAGAATGTTAATTTCATTTGCTAATTGTCTATGGTTTGTTAATTATCTATGGTCTTCTGCATTTAATTAAAATTTGAATCCAGATACGTTTGATTCGTAAAGCGAATAGTTGGTTGCATATATTAATGAGACAAAAGAAAATTATTTTATAAATTAGTTTTATTGTTTAATTTAATAATTCCAATAATATAAACTTTGCTTATCATAACATATGTATTAGGTTTATTTGTAAGTTTCCTTCTATAAGTAAGTTTCTTTCAATAATTCAATTTCGTTCTAATTAAAAAGCATTTTTTGTTTTCTTTGTTATTAATTATTCATAAGTGTACAATTTATAGATTTACTAATAAACCTTTTCTTTTATTTAATAGAAAATTGGTATATTTTCAAATTTAATACAAATTGAAGTTTCAGTTATATAATTAAATTGGCCTATACTATGATGTAATTGGTTTCTAACTTTGTTTCTCTGATATATTTTGAATATTTTAAGAATTCTGAACTGATAACTTACAATGCATCTTACATATTTTGTTTATGAATTAAAGCTGAAATTAATTTGTTTTTTGTTGATTTAATTATGTAATTGAATTGATTTGAATGAATATTGTATAAAGATTTGAACAAATTATATCATAGGATGCTCCAATTAATTGTTAAACGATTATTATGCTTGAAAATATTAAGTTTTTTATGTAAATATGTTATAGTTTATAAGTTATATAAGGTTGCATAACTAAATTTGTCATTTGTCCATAATTGCACAACTGTATGTTTGGTGCATTAACTTTTTTTGAGCAATTACATCGAATTAATTATTTAGTGTTTATTAGCAAAATTACGTTTTTCTACACTTTACATATATTAATTAATTTCAAATCCAATTAATAATTTTCAGAATAATTTTTTTCAATTAATTTTCTACAATATTCATTCTTAAGGTTGAGCAAAGCTAGCAAAAATAATGATGTTCTTAAGAAATACAACAAGTTTTACTGTTAAAATTAACACATGTTCTTCATACATAATTTATATATTTTCTAATTTTGCAGAATGTTAATTTCCTTTGCTAATTGTCTATGGTTTGTTAATTATCTGCATTTAATTAAAATTTGAATTTAATTATGCATCGAAATACGTTTGATTCATAATGCGAATAGTTGGTTGCATATATTAATGAGACAAATGAAAATTATTTTATAAATTAGTTTTATTGTTTAATTTAATGATTCTAGGAATGTAAACTTTACTTATAATAACATATGTATTAGGTTTATATGTAATTTTCCTTCTATAATTAAGTTTTTTTTAATAATTCAAATCGTTCTAATTAAAAGTATTTTTTCGTTTTTTTGTTACTAATTATTGAAAATTGTACAAATTATTAATTTACTAATAAACCTTTTCTTTTATTTAATAGTAAATTGGTATATTTTCAAATTTAATACAAATTGATGTTAAAGTTATGTTAATAATGTGGTTGCCTATACTATGATGTAATTAATTTCTAACTTTTGTTTGTTTCTCTGATATATTTTGAATATTTTAAGAATTTCTTAACGGAGAAGTTTCAATTCCACTTATATATTTTGTTTATGAATTAAAGCTGAAATTAATTTGTTTGTTCGTACATGAAATTTAATTATGTAATTGAATTGATTTGAATGAATAATGTATTAAGATTTAAACAAATTATATCATATGATGCTAGAATTAATTGTTATTCGATTATTATAATTGAAAATATTAAGTTTTTATGTAATAGTTTATAAGTTTAATAAGGTTGCATAACTAAATTTGTCATTTTTTCATAATTGCACAACTGTAGGTTCGGTGGTCTATCCAGAAGGGTAGTACAAGCGACCGTCGCCTCGCTTCACTCTTTTCTGTCAGCTCCGTTCTGTGCACGGTACGTATACAAGCCCTCCTCCACTTTAATCTTCAAACATCCCTTCGAAATAACGTTAGTATTCCCAAATAACCACCCCATCGTTGTAAATACGCATTGCGTTTCCACAATTCCCATAAATTTTTCCGAAAAAAACATTTTCCAATACGAAAATAATAACGTTTGTTTTTCTTTTGTAGGTTAAGTTTGACGAAGCCTAACAAAATGGTAAGTTGTTTTGTTTTTTTCTCTCGTTAGGAACGTGTAAATAAACAACGTCTTTTCTTTACTTTTAGCCACGTGAAATTAAGGAAATCAAAGAGTTCCTTTTGAGGGCGAGAAGGAAGGATGCCAAGTCCGTTAAGATCAAGAACAACCCAAAGAAGAACAACACCAAATTCAAGGTCCGTTGTTCCAGGTTCTTGTACACCTTGGTCATCAACGATAAAGAGAAGGCTGAGAAACTGAAGCAATCTTTGCCACCAGGTGAGACTTAATTTTTTTCATATTTAATTTTTGCAAATTCAACATGTGTTTACAAAATGTTTGCTTATTGTAGTCTTAAAGCCACATCTGTACTTTTACTTGCTAATGATTTGTGTTTGTACAATGTGTTTAAGTAACAAAACCAGTTGCAAACTGTTTGTATATAGCTAATATATAAATAATTGCATTTTGAGGTTATATACTTAAACCACTAGTTACAAATCATTTACAAGCTATATGTTCATGTCCAAATGTACATACAAATGTAGTTGAAAGTGTGATCTTATTTAAATACTACAGTTGTGCAACTTGTTGTGACATGTTTCCATTTACATAATAATTTATACCAATAATTTCTTTTTGTTATAGGTCTCCAAGTAAAGGAGAACAAGTAAACAGATGACTTCTTTATTGTAATTAAAATAAATTTTTAAAAAATATATTTTTATCTATTATTTCCTAAAACCTTTACACATTTCAGAAATTATGATTTGTGCTAACTCTTAAAACTGTGTTTCTAAAACGTTAAACTTGATAGTATACAAGGAAGTTGAATATTCAAAAATTTATACTTGTATGGTTTGCTCAAGTATTTCTGGCGTTGTCATGGAAATAATCATTTAGTGGTAAATGGGTTGCCTACTCTAAACATACTTTTTTGCTCTAATTCAGTGGTTTCCAAACTTGATGTTACTACGCCTCCCTCAAAAGTGCTCATCACCCTCCATTTTAACTTTGAACGCGTATTACAGCAAAATGGATAAGAGCACAAGAATGTATCTATACTTACGGGATTCCCCAAACATTCAGCTTGAATGAAATGTGAAAACATTGCTTGTTCGAACGTTCTAATTTCAATTTTTCAACTTTTAAATTCGTATTACAGCAATATGGATAAGAGCACATGAATGTATCTATACTTGCTGGATTCCCCAAACATTCAGCTTTCATGTGCATATATTGAATCCATTTTAACTTTGAACGCGTATTACAGCAAAATGGATAAGAGCACAAGAATATATCTATACTTACTTGATTCCCCAAACATTCAGCTTTCATACGCATATATTGGATTCGTTCTA